CCTGACCCCCTCCTCCCCCTCCCTGGGGTTTCCCCCTCAACGCTGTAGCCGGAAGGCAGGACGGAAGAACCAGCCTTGCTGGGAAAGGCCACTGGGTCCCCACTTCTCCCTTCCCAGCCTCTGCCCCGCCCCCCGGGACATTCCGGCCCCACCCCCAGACCGCCCCTCTGGCCCCTGGACCCGCTAAGGTGAGGGGCTGCGGATCCCTTCTCCAAACCCTGCAGTGAGTCAGGTCCCAGGGGAGGCCAGTGGGGCCCTGACCCAGCCTGGGCTTCCCCGGGCCGATCCCAGCCCTTTGCCTGACCACACACCATTCCAGCGAATCGGCCGAGTGAGCAGGTCTGCGCGGGCGTCCCGCTTCAGGCCCTGAAGGCAGTGCAGCGCCAACAGCATGACCCCCAGGCTTCTCCTGGTCTTGGCCCTCTGGGCCGAATGCGCGTCGGGCAGCCACAGAAGGGAAGGTGCGCGGGATCGGGATCGTGGTGGGGAAGGGGGTGGGGGGGGTCCCTCAGGCGGTGGGACTTGACCCGACCTTCCTCCTGGATCAAGTCTGGGTAGGTCTGGGGTGGGGCCGCGACTCACACACCTAATGTATTCACACTGGTGGGACAGGTTACTATCCCATTACACAGACCAGAAACGGATGCAGAGAGGAAAAGACAGACCTAGATAAATCACAGGCGTAGATACAGAGAGAGATGTGGATACAGATATAGGTACAGATGAAGACCCCAGCCGGAGCAGTTTGCCCCGACTACTAACCTGAAGGTGGGCAGTTGGCACCCCTTCAACCGCAACACAGAAGAAAGCCTGGCAGTCTGCCTCCGTTAAGATTACAGCCAAAGAGCGGGCACAGCAGAGGGGAGACTGCCCCGGTCAAAGCACTGTCCTGAGCATGTTCGTCAACCTGGACTGTAGCCTGTTACTTCCTCAGTAAACCCCATAATCGTGGGGGGAGAAAAAGGGATCACAGCCAAGGAAACCCTGTGGAGATGTGTTCTGTAACTCACAGAGTCCCCATGAGTTGGAATCAACTAGACAGGGAGCTCTGGTAGCATAGTGGCTGTGGCACTTGACTGCTAACCAGAAGGCTGGTGGTTCAAATCCACCATGAAGATGAAGATGAAATCTGCCCCCATGAAGATGACAGCCTGCAAAGGTCTATGAGGCAGTTCTACTCTGCCCCATGGGGTCACGACCACCAGGAGTCAAATGCACTTGATGGCAACTAACAACAGCACAAGAGGGCAATGATGGGCTTACTGGTGGAATCCTTGCTTTCCACGTGGTTCGAGTCCCAGTCGGTGCACTCGTGTGCAGCCATCGCTGGTCTGTCCGTGGAGGCGTACACGTTGCCGTGATGCTCAACAGGTTTCCACGGAGTGCCCAGACTAGGACACTAGGAAGAAAGGCCTGGTGATCCATTTCCAAAAATCGGCCACGAAAACCCCCTGGACCCCAATGGTTAAATCCACAACTGATCCTGGGGAGGGTGCGGGACCAAGCAGCGTTTTGTTGCCCGGTGCCTGGGGTCGTCACGAGTCAGGGCGCCGGCAGCTAAGAGCAACACAGACAGGGACAGAAATACATATTAATTGTGGGCATTTGTTTTGGAACAGGGAGTGTGGGTCATGTGCTTTTACACAAACCAAAGCAAAACCGAACTCGCTGCCACTGAGTGAATGCCGGCTCATAGCGACCCCCGTTGCGTTTCTAAGCCTATGAATCTTTACAAAAGCAGACCGCTTCATCGTTCTTCCATGGAGCGGCTGGTGGGTTCAAACCACTGACCTTTTGGTTAGCAGACAAATGCCTTAACCACTATACCACCAGAGCCTCTTTTTAACACAAGAATGTTACAAAATAGAGATGCAGTTTAACAACTCCCTCCCACCCCAGTTCTTGCCACCCAGGCCTTGAATCTTAGTTTCGCCAAAATGGGCTAATAACTCCTGCCTCGGTGGGCTCCAGAGCAATGAATTCCCTCTTCCCTTCCACACGCATGTATTAGGCTCCTACTGTGTGCCTGGCGTTGGCGGGCAGCATGGCAGAGCCAGGCACACAGTAGGACTTTGCCAGTTTTGGGGTGTATCGAAGCTCACACTCCTCCCTCTCCCTCCCGCGACCCCCAGCAGGTCCAGGTCACCTCAAGGTGCAATGCCGTGCCGTCAGGTACCCCATTGCCATAGACTGCTCCTGGACCCAGCCTCCAGCTCCAGACTCCACCAGGCCCACGTCCTTCATCGCCACATACAGGTCAGAGAGCCAGGAGGGGAGAGGGGAGTGGACCTGAGGTGACACAGGGCTTCCTGGGGACCCCAGAACTCAGAGAACAGGCTGGGTGCCTTGGGAGAAAGGGCTGGCAATCTACTTCTGAAAAATCAGCCGCTGAAAACCCCAGGGCACAGTCCTACCCTGACACACACAGGGTCGCCATGAGCCAGGGTCAACTCAACTCACGATAGTTTCATTTAGATTTCATAAAATTTGTTGAAGAAACAGGTGTACGTGTCTGTTTTGCTCTGAACAGCTTTTCCAAGTTTTCTGATAACTGAATCAAGTATCAGTTTTTAAATTTAAAACTCTAGTAGCTTAGTGCCTAAGGCATTTGACTGCTAACTAGAAGGCTAGAGGTTCAAACCCACCAGCCACTCCTCGGAAGGAAGGTTGGGCAATCTACTTCTGTAGTGATATCACCTTGGAAACCCCAGGGAGAGGTTGCTATGAGTTGGGACCAACTCAATGGCAGTGAGGTGGGGTTTTTTTTGTTTTTTTTTTTTAATTAAATTATTTTAAAAGTTACACACTTTAGCACCAGCCATGGAATGAGTACTCAACAGCCACACCTGGCTGGTGGCCACTACGTTGGACAGTGAGCAAATAGAACGTTTTGAACATTCTGGAAAGTTCGGATGGACTGTATTGAGCTACAGTCTTGACATTCTAAGGTCTGGAATCTTGGGGTTTGCCGAAATCTGGAGAACTGGAGGCCCCTCATCCCAGATTCCAGAATCTGGGAATCAGTAGGACTCTGGAATGTTGGAATTCCAAAGTTGGGATGTTGACATTCCAGAAACTTTAGAATCTGAAGACCCTAGCATCTCCCTGTGGCTTGTTACACATGAACCCCAGGTTGCGTGGCCTCTGTGATATTGGGGTGAGCGACTCTCCAGGGTCACACAGCCTTACAAGCCACAGAGCCCACCGCAGGACTCCACCCACTGGGTCACTGCCCCGTGTCCCCCTTCCCTGCCGGCTTTCATTTGGCATGCAGGGTACAGGCCAGCCCCAAGGCCTCACAGCACCCACCTTGTGCCAGGCTTGGTGTGGCCGCACAGGGGGAGAGCAGATCCTGCCTCCAGCCGACACCAGGAACCCCCAGCTGTGCCATCTCGGACGTGCAAATGTTCTCCATGGTGCCTTACGTGCTCAATGTCACGGCCATCCACCCCAGGGGCGTCAGCAGCACCCTCCTGCCCTTCATTCCAGAGCACATCAGTGAGTGGGGGTGGGCGGGGGCATGGGGGGCCACCATCATGTTCCTGTTCATCCATTCTCTCTCATCCCAACTGTCTACTAGTCCTGTCGGCTTCACCTTTACAGTCTATTCAGACTCCACCGCTTCCTCCCTCCTCTGCCTACACCTGGTCCAGCTCCATCATCTCTCACCTCTGCCCTAGTCCCCTGGCTCCACCCTTGTGCCCCCAGGCTGTTCCCCTTTCTGCAGCCAGAGGGCACCCATGAGCACCTGAATCAAGGCCCTTCCCTCCTCTACTCACAGCCCTCCAGGGCTCTTGCCTCCCTCAGAGTAAAAGCCCAAAACCTCCCTGGGCCCACAGGGCCCTGCACAACCTGCCCCACCCTCTCCTTGTCCTCTCCTCTTCCTCTCTCCCCATTGATCACTCTGCTCCAGCCCCATGGGCCTTCTCACTGTTCCTCCAACTCACCAAGCCTGGTCCTGCCCCAGGGCCTTTGCACGTACCATTTCTGCTGCCTGTTCTGCTTTTCCCACAGGCACCCACATGGCTTCCTCTCTCACTTCCTTCAAGTATCCGATCAGAGGTCATCTCCTCAGTGAGGCCTTCCTCAAGCATGCTACTACCACTTGCAAACCATTAGCCATTGCTGGTGGGAATGTAAAATGGTGCAGCCACTTTAGAAAACAGTTTGGCAGTTCCTCAGAAAGTTAAACAGAGTAGTTACCACGTACATCAGTTACTACATAACACTGAAACATGGTCACGTCAAAATTTGTACATGAATATTCACAGCAGTGTTATTCATAAGAGCCAAAATTAGAAACAACTCAAGTGTCTCTCAATAGATGAATGGATAAACAAAATGTGGTCCATTCTGCACAATGGGATATCATTCAGCCATGAAGGGGAATGAGATCTGATACATGCTACACCATGAATGAACCTTGACAATATTGTGCTGTGAAAAGGAAGCCAGTCACAGAGGACAGTATATTGTATGATTTCCTTTATGTGAAATCCCCAGACAAAGCAAGTCCACAGAGATAGAGAGTAGATTGGTGGTTGCCCAGTGCTTAGGGGCAATGGGGAGTAGAAGTGACTGTTAATGATCTTAGGTTTCTTTTGTGGGTGATGAAAATGTTCCAGAATTAGGTGGCAGTGAGGGCTGCAAAACTCGTGATTGTACTAAAAACCACTGAATTGTACACTAAAAAAAACCAGACTCACTGCCGTTGAGTCAAATCCAACTCATAGCGACCCCTCCTTGGGTTTCCAAGGCGGTATCACTACTGAAGTAGATTGCCCAGTCTTCCTACTGAGGAGTGGCTGGTGGGTTTGAACCACCAGCCTTCTGGTTAGCAGTCAAATGCCTTAGGCACTACACCACCAGAGCTGTGAATTATGTGAATTATGTCTAAAAAAATTTCAACACTCTCTCCAGCCCACGATTTTAAGCTTTCTTGCCTACTCTCTCTGAGCTATTGACTTGTTTCCTGTTTCTTATCTTCTCCTCTGGTGAACTGTAAGCTCCAGGGGGACAGGGATTGGGTCTGTTTTGTTCAGTGCTGTGTCCAGCATCTGGGACAGCACCAAGCACTTAGTGGATGCTCAATAAATGTTTGTTGGTTGAATGAATGAGTGAATGAAACTTCCCTCCCCTCAACTGACCTTCTGCTTGTCCATCAGTCAAATCGGACCCTCCAGAGGGTGTCCGCCTGAGCCTCATCCCTGGGAAGCAGTTGCGTGTGCAGTGGGAGCCCCCCCGGTCCTGGCCCTTCCCAGAGATCTTCATACTCAAATACCGGATCCGCTACAAGCGTCACGGATCTGCCCATTTCCGGCAGGTGAGGAGGATGAGGGGGAGGGCAGGAAGGGTGGATGGGTTGGTACCAGACATGGTGGGTAGAGGGAACAGCATGTGCAAAGTTTGGAGGTGTGCTGGGGCTTGCATGCACTTCAGGGTAACCAGTGTGTAAAATAACTTGTTGTTGTTGTTAGGTGCTGTTGAGGCAGCTCTGACTCTTAGTGACCCCGTGTGCAACAGACCAAAATGCCGCCCGGTCCTGCACCAGCCTCACAATCCTTGCTATACCTGAGCCCATCGTTGCAGCCACTGTGTCAGTCCATCTTGTTGAAGGTCTTCCCCTTTTTCTCTGACCCTCCACTTTACCAAAAATGATATCCTTCTCCAGGGACTGGTCCCTTCTGACAACGTGACCAAAGGAGGTGAGATGAAGTCTGGCCATCCTCTATTCTAAGAAGGATTCCAGCTGTACTTCTTCTAGGACAGATTTGTGCATAAAATAATGGAAGCCAGCAATTCTGCTCCTAGTCTCTGCCCAAGAGAAATGGAAACATAAATAAATATACACAGAGACTCGCACATCAGTGTTCATGGCAGCACTATTCACAGTAGCCAAACGGTGGAGACAATCCAAGTGTCTATCAACAGAGGAACAGATAAGCACAATGTGGTCCACCCATATAATGGAATATTACTGAACCCTCAAAAGGAATGAAGTCCATGTTATTAGGTGCTATCCAGTCAGTTCTGAGTCATAGCAACCTTACATACAACAGAACAAAACACTGCCCAGTCCTGCACAACCTTCACAATCTTGCTATGTTTGAACCCATTGTTAAAATGTGTTAATCCATTTTGTTGAGGGGCTTCCTCTTTTTCCATATGGCCCAACAATTCTACTCTTAGGTACATACCCCAAATAATTGAAAATAGGGACTCAAGCAAATACATGTACAAGTGTGTTCATTCACAATGGCCAAAAGGTGGAAATGACCCAAGCATCCACCCACTAGTGAATGCATGAACAACTTGTGGTCCATTTATACCAGAGAATATTATTCAGCCATGCAGAAGAATGAAGTCCTGATACATGCTATGGCATGGATGGATCTGGAAGACATCAGGCTGAGTGAAATAAATCAGACACAAATGACAACACGTTGCATGATTCCCTTGATAGGGAATGTCCAGAGTAGGAAAATCCATAGAGACAGGAAGTAGATTAGTGGTTGCCTAGGGATTAGAGAGAGGGAGTGGCTGCTGATGGGCACAGACATTCCTTTTGAGGTGTTGAAAATGTTCTAAAACTAGACAGAGGTGATGGTTGTACAACATGGCAAAGGCACTAAGTGTCACTGAATGGACACTTTAAGATGGTTCCTTTTATGCTGTGTGAATTTTACCTCAATTAAAAACACATATACTTAAACAAAGGAGCTTCTGAGAGCTGTCAGCTGTGTCCCCAAGACCCTGAACGCGTGGCTGAGGAGCTGAGCCTTTGCAGGGTTCAAGCTCATCGCCAACTTGCTTGCTGAAAGGGAACAGGACTTGAAGCACATCTTGATGAAGATGAGACTCCAGCCTTCAGCGTAGGTTACACCTCAACATAAAGAAAACAAAAGTCCTCACAACTGGACCAATAAGCAACATCCCGAGAAATGGAGAAAAGATTGAAATTGTCGGGGCTTTCATTTTGCTTGTCTGCACAATCAATGCCCATGGAAGCAGCAGTCAAGAAATCAAACAATGTATTGCACTGGGCAATGCTGCAAAAGATCTTATTAAAGTGTTAAAGAGCAAAGATGTCACTTTGAAGACTAAGGTGCTCCTGACCCAAGCCACCGTGTTTTCAATTGCTTCATATGCATGTCAAAGCTGGGCAAGAATAAAGAAGACTGCAGAAGAACGGATGCATTTGAATTAGGGTGTTGGCAAAGAATACTGAACACACCATGGACTGAAGAACGAAGAAATCTGTCTTGGAGGAAGTCCAGCCAGAATACTCCTTAGAAGCGAGGATGGCTGGACTTTGTCTCACGTACTTTGGTCATGTTCTCAGGAGGGACCAGTCCCTGGAGAAGGACATGATGCTTGGTAAGTAGAGGGTCAGGGAAAAAGGGGAAATTCCTGGACGAGATCAATCAACACAGTGGCTGCAGTGATGGGCTCAGGCAGAGCAGAGATTGTGAGGATGGAGCAGGACTGGGCAGTGTTTCGCTGTCGTGATATGCACTGGAGCTGACTGGACAATACCTCACAGCAAACACTGTCCAAATGCAACGTTCTGCATCTGGGCTGCCCCGCCGCTCTGACGGGAGTCACTAGCCACGTGTGGCTGCTGAGCAGTTGAAATGTGGCGAGTACAATTCAGGAACCGACTTTAATTTTATGGAACTTTCTGTTTTTTTCTAATTGTTCCAATTCTTTTATTAGCATAGAACTCTCAAGCCACAGAAGTCACCCTTGTAAAGCAGACACAATTCAGTGGCTTTGAGGGTAGTCAAAGCTGTGCAACCATACATCATCTAGCTTTAAAACTTAAGGAGTCTCTGGGTGCTGCAAATGGTTAAGCACGGGACTATTAACAACCCACTCAGAGGCGCCTTGAAGAAAGGCCTAGCAGTCTGCTGCCACAGGATCACTGCCTTGGAAACCCTCTGGAGCACAGTGCTACTCTGTACACATGGGGTAGCCGTGAAGCAAAATTCCCTCAGTGACAACTAACAACAACTAATAACACACCAAACCAAACTCACTGCCATCGAGTTGATTCCAACTCATAGCAAACCTTTGGGTTTCTGAGGCGGTAAATATAGAAGTAGATTGCCTCATCTTCCTTCTGCAGTGTGGCTGGTGGGTTTGAACCACCAACCTTATGGTTAGCAGTCTAACGCCTTAGACACTACGCTACCAGAGCTCCAGATGTATGTATGTATATATATGTGTGTGTGTATACATACATACATATACATATATTTACAGCATAATAATTTTTAAACACATTAAATAGCCTTATCTCCATATTGGAGAGTTAAGGTAGAGGAAAGGAGGTCAGTCTTGGGTTAAAAAGATGCCTTTGGAGGCTGGAATGGAGCAGTTCCTAGGAGGAGAGGGAAGCGGTGTGGACAGAGAGAAACGGCTAGAGAGAGAACAGGAAAAGACAAAGCTGTGCAGGAGAGGGATGGGCAGCACCAAGGTCAGGGTCAGAAGCTCTGGTTTGAGGCCCTGGGAGGAGGAGTGGGATTGTTGGGGGTAAAGGTCCTTGTGAGAGATTATACTCAGTGGTGAGACATCATGGGGTGGTGTGTGACCCAGAAAGGCTTCCTGGAAGAGGCAGCTCTGCAGCCAAGCACTGAAGTCTGACTAGGTTAGGATGGGGAAGGGCCACAGACGTGGAGGAGGGGTATATAAAGGATGCTGTTTAGGAGGGACTAGAGCCCTGGAGAAGGGAGGACAGACAGCTATGTCATGCTGTCCTGTGTACAACGGTACCTTCTAACTTCCTTGTTCCAAGTGACGTGAACCCCTCTCTACTCTCAGGTGGGGCCCATTGAGGACACATCTTTCACCCTCAGGACTGTCCGGCCGCGAGCCAGGTACTGCATCCAGGTGGCTGCTCAGGACCTCCTGGACTACGGGGAGCTCAGTGACTGGAGTCCGCCTGCCAGGCTCCCCATCACTCCGGGCAAATAGTGGGGTCTTCCTAGGGCCCCCGCACAGGGGTTGAGTCCCTGCCACTATTCCAGGTGTGAATGGCACCAGACTGGCCTGGGCTCAAGTCCCGGCTTTGCTGCCATGCTGCCGGGCCACCTCGGACCAATGCCTTTAACTGCTCTGAGCCTCAGTTTCCTTATCTGTGAAATGGGGACATTCTCCCT